TTTGACCTCAAGTCATGGGGGGACTTGTTCACCACACGTTACTAACCTAACAAACCCTTGTGGTGATGATCAGGGTTTTCAGGCAATGACTGCTTTACACTTCAGGCTTTCTGTTTTACAGCAGTCTGTGTTGTGTGCCCAGGTAGATGCCCCAGTTGGTGTTTAGGAACTCTGATTTGGAGGTGTTGGTTAATTCAACCATGGTTCAGTCTGCATATGTTCTTCCTTCTCCTTCTAGTATGTTGTATTCTCCCTCTGGTCTTCCCTCTTGCTTCTGGCCCCAAATCATATAAGGGTTTCAGGGCCGGGGCAATGTTTAGCTCGGGATGTGGTTTGGTCAGCTTAGGGGTTCATCCCATCTGACATGGGTGCAGAGGCAGTCAAGCAATATGATCCCGCCAAGACTTCTAGTTCTTCTTTTCAGCCAGTCCCAACCTTTGAAGCCTTTCCTTTGGACTCCTCTTCTCTATCCTGGGTGGTGGGTGTGCATGACAGCTCTGCCCTGGGGCCCTAGGCTGTGGTTTCCAGGGCTTGGGGGTGGGGAGGGGGGTAGTCTGACATGGGCCCTTGGGTCTCATTTGATCTCTCATAGACTTGTTCCTTCTGTTGAGGGTGTTTTGTTGCAGGGTATGGGGTTTTCATATCCCCCTTCCCTATATGAGTTTGATATGGGTTCGACTTCCCCCACGGTTAGTTCCGGGTGTCCTTGGGGTCCTCAGATTCATCCTTCCAGAGGTTTCCAGCTTCTCAACTTTCCCTGGCAGAGGCTTCGGAGGCACGCTCTGCGTACCTCCTGTGCAACCCGGATTTCATCTCGGTGATGGATCTAGCCTCTTTTTGAGTTCGGTTCTTCTCCATATTTGATATTTTATGAGGTTCTGGAGTCGTCCTGGCTGGTAGACAACTCTTTGCTTTTGTTGGGGCTTGGCCCAGTTTGTCCGTTCTACTTGAGTGACGTGAGACTACTTCTGTGTTACAGGTGCCCACTTTCTTTGTGCATCTCAGTGTCTGCCTGTTTGCTCCTGCTCCCCGAAGAGATGTTGGGATGTTGCAGCTCTGTTAAAGTTCCTCACTTGTCAGTTAATCTGGTAGCAGAAGACCTTCACAATCATTTGCACCTGGACTCTTATGTGCTGCTTGAACCTTCTGGAGCTGCACTCCGACTTGCTCTCGGAGGACTTTGGGGCTCTCACTGGTGTTCCTCTTTCTGGGGTTTTGATCTCTGCAGAGGCATCATTGGCGACTTTTTAAGCTGCATACCCCTTATTCTTTGGGAGGCAGTGGCCGCATTTTTTGCCTCTTGGCTCGCGTGTTGGCAGACCTTGCTGGCCTTCTTTTTAGATTCGGAGTGGGTCTTAGCTCTTCTTTCAGCCTCTCCTTTTTCTCCGTTGTTGTTTCTGGAGGAGGTTGTGGAAAGGTTCTTGTCCTCGGTGGCTACTGCTTGCCATCCAATGTTGAACTTACTGTATCTTTAAGGGGTCATCCTTGTGTTTCAAGATGGTTTGGCAGGGCTAGGGCATCGCCTTTTGTATGGTCGGGGTGGGCCAGTTTGGGGCCAGTGGCCAGGTTGCATACTCTTCCTTTGTCCTGTTTTTTGTCTGGTTGGTGCCGTGCTCGCTCCTTTCAGAAGACTGGTTCAAGGGGGATCGATGTGGCCCTTTTGTGGTTTGCCGGGGGGTGGGTGGGAGCCTCGTGTGGTTTGCCGGCACCTGATTCCCATGATTTGTAGGCTTTTCAGGTTAGTTCATGTGGCCTGCAGCGGAGTTAGTCGGTCCCTCTTCCATTCAGGGGAGTTGGGTCTTTTTAGGCAGGCCTCCTTTCCTTGTCTTTGTTGGGTCATCGCGGAGAGAGTGTCTTTGGGGGTGGTCAAAACAAACCCTTACCTTTGGTAAGGGATCATTTGGTTTGGTGGGTTTCCTCGCCTGTTTCTGGTCCCAAAACAGGACTCTCTGAATCTCCAGTTCATCCTCAACCTGTCTGGGTTGAACTGGTACATTCCTTTCCCCTCCTTTTGGATGACCACATTGTCCCAGGTCTGTCTCGTTCTCGAGGTGGACACTTGGATGATTTTCCCAGACCTCCAGGACATGTACTGGCATGTCCCAGTCCATTTGGGGTTCAGGGATTGGTTAGGCTTTGTCATAGGGTGACAATCTTATGATTTTCAGGTCCGCCAGTTGGGCTCAATCTGGGTCCTCAGTTCATTTCAATTTGAACACTCTCTCCATGGTGCCTTGTCTCAACCAGGAGAACCCAGCTCTCTTTTTGAGCTGGACTCTACATGTAGTTCATTTTCTTGTTTCTTGGGGTTTGACTCTCCACGATGTTAACCTCCAGGAAGTGGCAGGTTTCCTTACTTTGAGATGGTTTCGGGGCTTAGTGTCCCCGTGGCCTGGTCCTCGACCAGGCCTCCTGTACATTGAGGGTGTCCAGTGTATTGGCTGACTGTCTTTCTTGGTTCCATCCCAATTCTGTGGAGTGGAACGTTGATGCGGCTCCTTACTTTGGCTTTGCCAGACATTTAGGTGCCCAGTTGTGAACTTTTTCATGTCGGCTAAGGGCACCATTTCCCCTGACTGCGAGGTTCTCGAGGTAGGTGTCTTTTGGCTGGACTGGTTGAGGTTGAGGTTTCTGTACCACTCTCCCACGGTCCACGTCCTGGCAAAATTGGAGTCCTACAGGAAGTTAGGGATGATTTTTTTTCCATCATACAACTGAAGGTGGCAGACCCAGTCTGCCCCCCTCCTTTGTCTAAACGAGAGTGGAGGTGAGGCAAACAACTGGTGTTAGTTTCATGAATTTTTTATCAATTGTTTACATTGTTGGGTGGAGTTCTTTTGGAGATTTTGAGGTATCAATATTTCTTACAACTGGCAGTGATCTGTTTTGTTTTCCTGACTTTGTAGCTGCTTCCCTGGTGATGACAGACATTATTATAATTCACTGGCAATTTTATCATTATGCCACTGCTCTGTGCCTCTTTACACGAGACCAGGTTCTGGCTTGTGGATTCCCAGTTGGTCTAAAAAAACTCGGCGACTGATGACACCTAGTAGTTTGGCATTATATCAGCACTGCAGTTTCAGGGAACCACTGGGGCTCACCCAAATATTGGCATTTCATGCATTTCAATGCTGTTTATTTTGAATGGAAAGGGGGGTAGGGAAAGAGGATTTTAAAATGTCAAAACTTTTTGAATACTTAATCTTAAAGTAAAGAAGAAAGCAATTGTTATTCATAAGTTGTTAGGGAGAAAATGCTACAAAAGTATTGTGACATGATCCAGTAGTCAAACATCTGCCATGTGTTAATACATCCAGTGCAAGTATGATGGCCTAGGTGGGTAATCTAGTTAATAAAAAGGTATATAGCTAAAGGGAAGGAGAAGCAGCAGTCATGTTGTATTCTGTTTAATGACTGGCTTCGTGTATGTAGGTGAGAGTTTTCTGAAGTTGCTAAGTGGGGGTCTGAGCTTAGGTATGACTCGTGAACCCGTAAAAATGTGAACTGTGTGTTTGTTTAGTTTATACTATTTTGGTCATCACAAACTTAACTGAAGCACAATATGTTAGGAAAGGTTGATACATTGAATTCTCTTTCGATAATTTTTTTTAATTACAATACTTTAATTGCAATAACCAAATTCTTCACTTGAACTATTGGTTGGTGATAGGCTTCTTTAATGACAATTGGTTTTCCCTGAAGTGTTGCAGTATGGCCTCATCAGCATGGTGGCTGCTTTTATATAGTATACAATCTACTATGTTTTTAAAGTCACATCAGTTCAACTTTGAATAAAGCAAGGTCCCTCCATGCTTGATTTTCTCGCCACTTCTTGTTAACATTTTACTCTTCCATTTGTTTAAATTTACAAATTAAAGAATGATTTAATCTTGTGTGTGTTTCTAAAATAGGGCAGTATTTATAAAAATTCACTTGAATTTAGTAAATAAAACTTGTATATATACACGTTGGAGCCAATTGTCTAGTTAACAGTACTTCACTGTCTGTAACTCTGGAAGGTAGTAGCTTCAGCCTTTTTAAATGATTAAGATGTGGAGTGTGTGTACCATCGTCATTTTATGTAAATTATCAAATAGCTTTTGAGTGTAGAGGGGTACCAGAATGTTTTTATGAATGGCATTGCAATGTTAGAGGTTGATAAATTATATGTCAAAAATAGGTTTCATAAACTTGCCGAAGATAGTTTGGAGCTTGTAATTTTCATTATATATGTATATTTTATATATATATATAATATATATATATATAATTATTATATATAATATTATTATATATAATATTATTATATATAATATTATATGCCTGTATGTTGATGTGATCTGTCAAGTGTACAAACCAAATTTTTCGTTCTTTCTAATTCTTGTACTGTAAAATGTGTTGAGAGTTTGCCAGTGTTGTCAGTGTTGTCGGGGAAGTGATGGTGGACATTATTAGTCTTGGCTCCCATCATAGTATATAACCATGCGTGTTCCTCCACTTTCTGTACATAACATGAACCTGACGCCTGTGTATGGAGTAGTAGTTTTTGTTGTACCCGAGTCTAGTTATTAATGTATAGCCTAGTTTATAGTATAGTACACTTACGGGACAATAAAGTGACTCCTCTGAGATATTTCATTCGCTGTATAAAGTTGTCATATTAATTTAAAAGAAAATATTGCCAAGCCAAAATAGAGCAGTTTGCATGACTAATGTTTTGTGAACCCCTATAATGCCATTGAAATGTTTTCAGTAGTATCCATTTGACATTGAAGTGTTTTAAGATTATTTTTGTTTATAAATTGGAAGAGCATTGTTTGGTAGGTAACAAAAACTATTGATAAATTTTAAGTGGATTACAAGCTATACATAAATATATTTTTTAATCAAAGCTGAAGTCATTCAATCTGATTTTTCACCCTTTTATTCTCGGAAGAATAATTTCCAGATAAAATGAACAGACTATATATCTAACCGATTTCAATCATTCTTTACAGCTTGCAGCTTCAGCATCGGCATCACCTCCAATGCTAACACCAAGTCGAAGCTTTCAGTCACTAAATCGGTCAGTTTCCTCTCAGGACAGTATTCCCAGCTCCCCAACACGCTGCAAATCTCCCCATTCACCCCCCACTTCAAGACTTTTTTCTCCTTCAGTGGAACAAGTTCAGTCGCCTCTCAACTCTTCTGGATCATCATCACCAACATCCTCTGTACCTAACTCTCCAGCAGGCTCAACACTTCATCAGCGACCTTCATCTTTGCATGTTGTCAACCAGAAAGTACCAAACGTTAAAGGCTTTCGTTCCCCTAATAGACGGAAATCGGTTGGACATATTCCTCTGTCACCCCTTGCTCGCACTCCTTCCCCATCTCCTTTACCAGCATCTCCTACTAGATCCCCTTCACCATTGGTTCATCATCATAACCATCACCACCACCATCACTATCATCATCACTGTCCTGGTTCCTCCAATACTACTCAGACTTATTCACCTGGATCATCTCTAACCCCTGCTGGACCAGCCACCAAGAAATGTTTAGGACGGCCTAAAAGTGCCGAACCTGGCTCTCCCTTGCTTCGTCGAGCACTTTCACCAGATCGACTTCACCCAAGGTCAGCTGAAGCAAAAGGCACAGTAACCATTAGCCCTCTAGCTACACCATCTCCAAAATTGGGGAACAATCCACCTAGATTAACGGTAACTTCACAGTCTCCTCCAAATTACGATACTCCAAGTGTTATTCGATCAGTTGCTCCCACAATGCTTGCACAACGCTTTAGCAGTGCAGTCAGTATTCCACCAACACTTCCCACAGGCACTTTGGAAGAGGCACCAGAGGAATTGGATTCACCTGAGCGACAAGAGGCTGTGCGGACAAATTTTCGTGAAGGCCCCCAGGGAGGCAGAGGATCATCACTGCCAGGGACCAACAGTGCTTGCTGTGGGGGCATAGAAACTTCAGGATCATTTTGTAAAGAACATTCTCAACCTGGAATTCCTACAAAAAATGGTAAAGGTAATGGTTACCAATTGGCCGAGAGAAGAGGCAGTAAGGATTTTCTGGAGGGACGAGAAAAGCTTCGTAGCGACAGTCGTGGTCGAAGAGAAACGGCTGTTGCTGCTGCTGCTGCTGCTACTAGGGATTTAAGAAGAGAAGACAGTAAACGAGAATCTCGTCGTACTGCACAAGAGAAGCGGGAGCTGTTCAAGTCGGGTAAGGAGAAAGAGAGTACCTCCTAGGGTTGGCCCACCGCTGGCCTGCCTGCAGCAGCCCCAAGTGGCACAGATTTGTGCCTTCAAAACTTGTGTGTATTCTGGGCAGGACCGCGGCATGCCTTCTCCGACAAAAGGTAAGGAGACACCTGCAGCCTGTGATGATATCTTCCCTTTCTTTCTGGATGAGTTAAAATATTAAGTAGCAAAGCTACTGAAATCATTCCTGGTGATTGTTGGTATGTGTAAAGATGTGGTGTGTGGACTTTTGTGATGATGCCACAAGGCCTGCTGGTTGTGTTGCTACCATTGTGATATTACAGAGACCATCAGTCTCAAGCTTGTGTGTCTAATAAAGTCATCATCTATAATACTTTTAGGCACTTGCATTCTTTGGTCCCTGTCATTTTGTAAATACTTTATTGTACTACGTTCCCTTTATCTCAAAGATTTTTACGTTTTTACTTAGAAATTTAGAGTTGAATGTGTTAAATTGCAAAATATAAATATTAATGTACTCATTTGTCATGTCCATGGAATTTTTCCAGTGTTGTGTATATTTTGTCCCTCATTGTCATGTTGCTATACAATCTCACAGTTGCCATGTTGGAGTTGTCTGGTGGGGGAAGGGTGGGGGACAAATTAGGAACTTGAACAAATGCACTTCCAATTGAAGAAGCGCAGTACAGAAAGATTGTTAAAGGCTGTTGAGGTGATTTTATGGTAAAGCTCTTGGTGATATGTTCTGCTTGTGTTTCCTCGCTGTTTAATGATGTCTTTATGTGTACTTAATATGGAATTTGTTTTTCCCACTAGGTCGTTGGGTGGTGCCTCACCATGTGCATTTGCAATGCATTTATATGGTCTCTGGTAGGAAACTGTTGGTGGGCCCTTAGTTGATACTGTAAGGCACCATTGGCACTGTGTATTATAGCATTAGTTGCTTGAGGTTCTTTAGCAGTAATTCAAAGTTAAGGTAATTGGAGCCAAGGTTTTCCATGAGTAACAAAAGTTTACAGAAAGCAGCCACCTTTGTGTGTGGATTGCAGCAAGTTGTTTTAATGTGAAAAAAATATATATATAAATGTAAAAAAAAAAAAAAAATAATAATCGCCGCCAAACTTTCCTGTAGTAGGTCATGTACAAGATATACGTATGTTTTTAAGGACACTGATACTTCCTTTATGCATTTGTCATACAAGACCATGTTGATGGTCGGGTAATGTTTGAAGCTTTTATCTAGCAGTTGTAGCATGTCGTCATTTTGTGACACCAGTCTCCCATTAGATACAGTGAGGAAAATTTGTATATTGTGTAGAAACCATTTGTAAAGAAAACAATCCTTATTTTCCATGTATAGTGTTTGTAGTTTATAAATTATTGATACTTAATAATAATTTTTCAAATGTGGTTAGCGAGTGCAGTAGTTCCCTGCTGTAGTTCACCAGAGCAGTTAAAGCAGCCAGGGTTCTCAAACTGGGGTTTACGTACCACTGGTGCTCTCTAATTTGCATATGTTCCAAGGTTGCTATATTGACAAGAGCTACCTTGGACCATAAAAGAAAATACTAAAGAAAGCATCAGGGGGTATTCTTTTCCCCCCATTTTTTTTGAGACAAATTCCTGGGTTAAAGAGACCAGTCAATGGTCAGGTGTGTGTTCTTGCTGTTTGACCAGTTTGCAAAAGGTGTGTCTTATCATCTTCCCTGTAAGCCTCGGAAATAAGCGTTAAAACCTCATCGTAAGTAAAATTGTTTAATTTTTTATTTAATAAAATGATGACAAATTCTTGCGTTATTTGCCATTGATCGAGAAAGAGGCTTTGCGCAAGACAGTGAATGTGATTATTTCAGTGTTAATAGGTGCATGGTGGGAGGTTTTTGGTAAAAAGTTTGCTATGCTATATTTTTAACGAGATGAAATGCACATCATCTTTTAGTAGCCTTTTAACAGTTATTACACTTCATGGTTCTTGTGCATTATTATCCAGTAGTGCTGTGCAGATATGAAATATACATCTTCCACCAAGTATCTTTAAACTGAACCGATAGATATGCTGGCTTTATATGAAATCCTTTGATACTACCTTGTGTTGGTTCTGAGGATCAATGTCCCCCACTAAGCAAAAACTTAACTATTCTGTAATATTCTATCCATTGTGTCATAACATTCTGAATGTTGTTGCATTTTCATAAGTCTTTTGGTAGCAGTCCCAGAAAAAAATATTGCAGGTGTTTCGGTAAATGAAGAAATTATTATATATTTTGTGGTGGCGTTAAATCAGTTGGAAATGAATACTCGCTTATAGCTCTCAATTCTTTGAGTTCATAAAATAAAAATTCAGTGTACAATGGTCTTGTGTTGACTTTGTTCTGGTGCATGGATACTCAAGCTATACTGTAGTTGGTCATGTTTATTTTCACTTTGTGGTACAGTAATGTGTATACGTTCAAACAGTAGAAAATATATGTGCATACGTTAACAATACCATGGAAAAGCCAAGTCTGAATATTAAACTGTTTACTTTAAAATGCCACTGTAAATTCAGACTTTTTCCAAATTCCATGTTTGAAATTTGTCTGAAGATCTTGTTCCATTTACTGGATGAATTGAAATCAGAAATGCTATTCATAACAAGTTGTTAAAATTATGGGCTGGTATTCAGCAGTGCCCAGTGTTTCATAAGTTTAAGGAATTTGAAAGTCAATTGGCATTTGGTTATATGGTACAGTTTACCTTGTCCGAGTTTAATGTACAGTAGCGTACTGTAGTCTTGATGAAATGTTCCACATACAGCCTGAGGAGTGTTATGATATTATGGCTTAAATTTTGGTATAAACTATTACATCCCTAGCAGACAGAGTGAAATTAGAGTGCCACTTTCATATCCAACATGGTTACTATGTCGTCACACATCCCTACCCCCCCTCCATTGTTTTCTAGATATTAACTTGGAGAAAATAAACTGTCTTAGGTTTCCAAGTGTCTTCTTATTGTCCCTTTTGAAAGTTGTTGTTACTTGCCTTGTTCTATTTTCCCTGTAATACATTTTCTTACATATAATGTTGGACAAGGCAGTCAAGGCTATTTCTATTCTTATTATGCTGTACATACTATCTTTAGCACCTCTGTCTTGAGAGACCAAGTAATTATCAAAAGAAGGCACCAAGCCGGGAAGGCTGTAGCACCATCAAATGTGCAGGATAATCATAGGGCACTAAATATCACTAAGGATGCCAATAAGAGAACAAACGCATAAGGTGAACGACATCAAAGGTATCCGATTCACTAAGAATTCTATTGAGGGATAAGTGACCGCGAGGGACGGTTGGGAAGCAAGACACACACTCGTCCTGAAAGTCAGGATATTCAACAAAGATATGCACAACCGTAAGAGGGACAATGCAGTCTGGACAATAAGGAGCAGGGCGGTGCTCCATTAAGTGTCTGTGAGCTAAGTGTGTATGGCAAATACGCATCATCGCCAGATATGTTTCCCACTGCTGGATATGGTGGTAGGAGGGCGTCCATGGGGACACGCGACTCTGTAGGAGCACGCAGTTTATCAGTAACAGAAGACCAACATTCCTGCCAATGGGCAAGGATGGAGGAACGAATAACTGGGTAAAAGTCAGAATAAGGAATATCTTTACGGGAGATGGGACAACTGCAGATTAGCTTCCTTAGTGGCAGCGTCTGCATGCTCATTTAAGGACACACCAATATGGCTGGGAACCCAGCAAAACTCCAGTCTTAAATCTGCTGGAGATAAGAAACGGCCAATGTTGAATCTTGACTACCACTGGATGGACTGGATTAAAGGACTCCAGAAGCCTTACCAGAGGGAGAAACTTACCATTTACCTCCTTACCATTTGAAGAAAATTAGTGATTTAGTGACAATTTACACGAGAATTGGTAAACTTGCAACAAGATGATCATGGTACACAGTACTGTACTTAGTTTCCGAGATGGGAAATAGAACCAATAGGTAAGATTTTTTAATAAACCAGATGGTATTGCCAGGATGATGAGATAAAGCAATTAGCCAGTCCATGCTTTCTTTGGCAGTCTATTTTTCTGGCAACTTATTTTCTTCTTCATCTGTAGTGTAGTGGAAAAAACCCAAAGTGGATTTAAAAAGTGCTGTGCTCTAGCTGACCAAAGATCAGGAAATGTTGATTTACAAAAAGACTTTCTTAAAAAAAAAAAAAAATCAGGTTTCTTTTATAACTAGTGGTTTTTAGCTTACAACAGAATTAATCAAAACGACCTGTTTCTTAGGTTGTGCTCGGCAGACAGCGGATTTTGATACCTTGCCAGAAAAAGGTGCTCATAACCTCTGGTCGGAGGATGTGTAAGGAGTAAGGAGCCAAGTATCAGGAAAGTTTGTGTACATAAAGCACTGTATATTACTCCTAAGATTTAAAAACCCTCTTAAAAATCCACACCATGTACATAGCTGTTGATCATGTTATAAATTTTATTCTCTATTAACTGATTGAAGACGGTAGTAAGTCTTACAAAGGATTCTTCTCCCAAACATTTTTCTTGTTTGCTACTCCTGCAACTTTTTCCTAGTCTCTCTAAAATGTGACCAACAATCCAAAAGTCTGGAATCAGATATTAGGTTGATTTCTGTGATATTTTGAAAATCATTAATTCTGAATTTATGTACAGTATTACCTTAATCTTTAAAGGTAATTAAAGTCTTGGGTAAAGTGTTAGCCCAAATAGAAATCATTGTAGTACTGAATCTTCCTAGTAAATGATAAGGGTTCAAAGTATTATCATTAAGAGATGGCCCATTCACAGTATTATAATTACAAAAGAATGTGCTTCTCTACATAGTACCTCAGACACACAGTAATAACATGTTAATTTAATTGTGACCTGCATATAATTGCTCAGTAAGCTTCTTTCATATAAGCACGAGCTGCACTTATGTTTGACTATGCATTTTTCAGAACTAATTGGATGTGTGGGATTCACATTTCTGACAAAGTACACAATTAACATAATACATTTTCTATTTTGTAAAAAGTACATTAACAAAGACTAAAGTATTAATATAAAGAAGGGATATCAGATTAACCTGAATATCAGACTGTAAATTTATATATATATTACTGTATATTAATTTAGATTCCATAAGAACCAGCATCTAGGTCAGAGTCCGTTGATACTACTGTTCTTGGGATTTTATTTTTATACAGACGTCAAGTCCGGTAGTAAACTTGTCAAGTTTCTATTTCTGTTACATTGTATAATTCTTTCTTATTTTTTTATTGAATATTTGAGGTCATTTTAGGAATGTTAATGAATTTTGCTATTGGAAATTTATTCCAGTAGAATAAAATATATTGGATTGTGTCACAGATACGAATTTTAATATCCTTCTTCAGCAATATACTGTATCTTACTTTTATTATTAGGCCTGTTTTACATTTAGAGTGAATTATAGAAGCACCACACATAAGCCGATCAGCTTGACACAACACGTTTGCAAGCTCATGGAAAGAATCATAAGGTAAGGAAGCATTCACCATCTCACAATGATCTAGGTTTACACTTGGCTGGGGTCTGGCTGTCTGCTCTGTGTCGAGGCTGAAGAGTCTTGTGAGGGTAGGAACTGGACTCTGAGTGTTATAGTGTTGTGGGTGAATGTTGAAGATGTGTGGAATCTCTCAAGCCACAATAGTCAAGAGGAGTCAAACTGATGACGATTGATTGTTATTGTTGAAGATTAAGCCACCACAAGAGATGGCACAGGCATGATCAGCCCATAAGTGAAGCGAATGTGGTCTTTGGTCGTGTAACATCTTGAAGTGTCTCTGGATGATTGATTGATAAAGCAACCTAAGATGTGGCACAGGCATGAATTATTATTATGATGAACAAATCCACAAGGGCCGTGACGAGGATTCGAACCTACGTCCGAGAGCATCTCAGACGCTGCCTTAATCAACTGAGCTACAACATGGTAAACAAAAAAAAAAAGGAGTTGAAACCAGACATTCTACTGAAGTTACTTGGATCCTGCAGCCTCTCTGAGACACAAACCAGGGTTTTACACAACTCCCCCCATGCACTCGAGCTATGTCAATATACACAACTCCCCCACTCGAGCATGGGGGAGTTGTGTGGTGCAACACAGCCCATTATGTTCAGTCAATTGGTTGTAGACCCAGAAAAGGGTGCATTTGTGAATTTAGTGGCGACGACGATTGTGGGACTAGGAAGGGGTAGAACTTGAGGGCAAGGTGCCTTTAGGGGTGGAGCCTAGACTTCACCTTCAAGGATGCAAGAGCCAAAGATTTTAGAGTGTCAACTGGGAGTGCAAAGAGGGGGTGAGTGATCTAACACAAAGCGACAACATCGGCTGAGGAGAGCAGTGGAAAGGTAATGTCTGCGAGATTCACAGCACAACGGGTAGTCCATCGTTAATTATAAGGTGTTTTCCAGATTCCTTTATAAATTGTTAGCGAAGACTTATAGGTCAATAACAATTACATATTGTAGATTATGATTTCAAATTTATCACACTAATTTGTGAAAGGCAGAATAAGAGAATATTACAAATGACCAAAATAACATAAATTTCAAGATATTTATGATTATAAAACACTGTACATAGGTTTGGACATAATGTATATACATGTTTTTATGTATTATCTGTTTTACAGTTTTTCCCAGTGAACATCTGCACCTTATGACAGCCTCTGACAATGTTGAAATTATGGCTTGCATTGTTACTGTATTCAAAGTATATTAGCCTTGATTAGGACTGACGAAGAGCACTTAAGACTTTAATTAGTTTCTAAACCAAATTTCAGCATATCATTTTATAAGAATTAAAACTGCAAGTCTCTCTAAATTGTTAAAGAATATTCTTATCTAAGGAAATCTTAACACACAGTGCCAATAAAAAATACTGGCATCTTTTCTTGTGTTACTATTAAAAATAATCAGTCTGACATTGCTAATATAGTATTAAAATAGCGAAAATTACTATAGGCTGTATGTAGACCACGGGACGAGTTCCTGAATCCATTATTTATGAATCTCGAAAGCTTTTATCCCCTGTTTTGATTTATAATATACTGATTAAAGTAAATCAATATATTACTTATTATATTAAATTATAATTACTGAGTAAAAGTAACTAACGGAATGTAAAACATTGGAGCGCAAACTAGCACAGCACGAGAAATTGAAATTGAAATAAGTTTATTCAGGTAAAATACACACAAAGGGATGAGGTAGCTCAAGCTATTCTCACCCCGTTCAGTACATCGTGTTAATGCATACATAGATACACATCACAAGCAATAAACGTATTACCGAACATTCTGAGAGATAAACATATACATTAACTAGCACAGCACGAGGATATGGTCGTTAAGCACTGTGACGTCACCAATGACGTTGGGCAAGGTCAGGAGCGGCCGGCGCCGCCTCAGTGTCGGGCTGACAGCCAGCAGACGTAGTTCCTTAGGCGGTGTCCCGCTTCTTACATCATTTGCAGCTGCACCGGTCATCAGGTAAGGTTACAGTGGACTTTATTGCTCAATGTATTAACTCGTATAAGGTGTCGATATTTAATTATGGTGTGACGTGGTTGTTGGCGTAGCGTAATGTGGGCTCGTTTATCTGTGATGCCTTTATAGGGACGGTGATATTTGGGTGGCGTATGATAGAATTGGTAAAGTTATTTACATGGAAACATAGTTGACGTATCCTAATAATAGTATTAATAATTAGTTTCGTTTAAGATTTAGCCGTACAGCATTAAGTGGCTGGTCCACAATTTTTTGTTAAATCTTCATTAGAGCGGGCAAAAATTATAAATATCTGGGCAGTACGTAAGGTATGCAAGTACTTTGGCCCGTTTAAAATGCAATAATTATTAGAGTAATGAGTAAAGGATCAGTGTAAAGGATAAATATTACTGCAGAATTTTGGGATTTGTAGCTCAAAATTTTAGAGCCAGCTATCACATTATTTAAATTTTTTAAATGGATTATAGGTACTGTAAGGCACTAAATGTACAGCTTATTCCTGTGGCGTTGCGTTGGTAGTAGTTAGTGGCAGTTTATGGTGGCAGTAAATCTGTGGTTTAATGGTCCTAGGGAGCCGGTCGGCCGAGCGGACAGCACCCTGGACTTGTGATCCTGGGTTCGATCCCAGGCGCCGGCGAGAAACAATGGGCAGAGTTTCTTTCATCATATGCCCCTGTTACCTAGCAGTAAAATAGGTACCTGGGTGTTAGTCAGCTGTCACGGGCTGCTTCCTGGGGGTGGAGGCCTGGTCGAGGACCGGGCCGCGGGGACACTAAAGCCCCGAAATCATCTCAAGATAGGGTGTTTTCACAGCCCCCGCCCCCCCCCCCCCCCCCCCAGGCTCGCAGAACTAGGCTGCTTCGATGAATCTTATTGATTTAAACTTAATGGTATTAAACCCACGTTTTTATTTAACAGGTGGGTGTGGATTTGTGATGTAATTCGCGGAACCAATTTCATCTGAATTACTTTGGTTAAGACCGGGTATTTGGTAAGTTATGCAGGTTTGAATTTCTTCAGTCTTGATATCTGTAGTGTCCATTGCAGCGGGTAAACAAATTTTCAGGTACAGTAGTTCTAATAGTTTGTGGTAAGGTAGAAATTGAAAATTATACTTTGGTATTGTATTAAATCTCGGACCTTCCATCCCCACTACTTTGGCAAGTTTCCTAGTTCATGTGGTTTCTTCAGTAGTGCGAAAAATGTATTGTAAAGCTTTCAGTAAAGTTAATATGTATTCAGTGGGGCCGTAATTAGTAAACGTAGACATCTGCGTGTCTGGGATTACATTGTTTTCCCAGACAGTCAATTTTGTAAGTAATTAAGTGTTGGCATGTCGCTAATTTACGGGCTACTAGTGGAAATGCCACGTCTTGTGGGGTCGTCATGGTATCGGTAGTCACTAGAATGCGTGGTAATATTGTTTGGAATGGCAACTTAAAAGCTATTAGGATGAATATATCAAACAAATTAAGAATTTAAATTCATTGCAAAAAGTTTAGTACTAAAGTTTGTACCCTGGTGTTGCCCTATATATCAAAGATTACAACGACACGAGGGTATACAATGTTATACAGAGAAATTATAATTTGTTGAACAAAAATAACCTTAAGACTTTTTCATAAATTTATTTGATACTTTATAAAACATTGTAATGGTATAAATAACTTAACGTTTGTTTTTCTAGGGTCTGGCTCGACAATGGCCACTAGTCTTCTTGAGAAATAACTTAAAGTGAACGGAGGACTAGTCAGTCACACAAGGAACGGAAATAGTTCAGACGTGACGTAGCTGCAAGTCTCGATAGAGGTGGTTGGACGGTGTTGAACACGGGGCGACTGACAACGTTGCAGGAGTATCTGAAAGAAAAGGCAAGTTGTTAAAACGTTCAGTTAATATTTATCATTAGCAGGAAACTGTTGGAAAGGATATTCTGCAGAATTATAGAAAGAACGTCTGTGGGACATTAGAAACGGTTGGTATTAACTAGTTTACTTGTCCTAGTTATGAGACTTTGGTTTAGGAGACAGTAAAAATGCCAGTTAAAATATAGAAATGGAGTAGGCTACCATAATTAGTAGGGAAATATCAGTAGATGAGCTTTGAAGCGGCATGATTCAAAGATAGTGTAAAGGATGAATGGTAGTGTTCATGACGTTGTAATTGGGAGGACCTAATCGTGATCGGTGAAAATAGTTTAGGGCATTATGAATAGTTAACGTGGGGGGGGGGTTATGACAAACTGTGAAAGGTGCCGTTTCTGCGCCACTAGAAATATTGAACGTTGACAGTTTGCAAGAATACTGCAGTTTCTTACTGGTTGGTGTAAATGTTAGGAAGAATGAAGGAATGTACATATTCTTCAGTTGACTATAACGGTAAGTGTTAGCAGTTTTAATGTCAAATGGTATAAATTGGTATTAGATAAAGTATGGTTGACGGGCCATTTTGTTAGTGAAAACGTGTAAAAGTAATATAAAGGGAGGAAACGTTACTACTAACGATAATTTTTACAACATCGTAGATTTGTGGTAGAATGGTGGTTAGAGAATAGTATATAGTAGGAAATAGTTTGGTGTGTAGTTACTCTAGTGTTGGAAGGACAAGTAGAGAAACGTGAATATTGAAATTAATGCAAACATTTTAACTTTACAGACGCAGTATAGAAAATGGATGAAGACGGGTGGTTGTAGAAGAAAGAAGGCCGGTGAAGCATAGATTGCAAAATTGGGGAGCAAGATGCAAAATAAATGAAAGTTTTGAATCTGTGTATTGTGTACTTTGAAACTGTTCTTAGAACTATAGAATCTGTTCCCTCTTATGTTTAATATCTGGTGTATGGTGTTATGACTTGTTCGGCTGGTTTTCTGTATTAACAATGATGAATGTTGTTCGTATTGGAATAAATGTCCCTTAATTATAGACGTTAATGTTTACAGCTGTGTGTTCTTTAACGGCTGGCTATACACAGTTTGTCTACAATGACATGTTTATTGTTGTAACATTGTCTAGGCCCAGTGTATGTGACAGTGGCTAGAATTTGAAAAGTTTGTTAATAAAGTGTTCATATTGGATAAGAAGTGTATGAACTACATGTCCCAAATGGCTTTAGTCCTCTTGATGTAAAAGTTTGACACGGTAACACTTCGTGGTTAATGTTGTTAAAAGGGTTGTTTCTGAGGGTTTAAGTGGTGTTGACTGATCAGTGTTCCTTAGGAGCATTTTGGCCCGGTTTGGTGCCTTCTTTCGATAATTACCCTACCTTAAGAGCATTTTGGTGAAAAAGGCTGTACACTGAATGAAGGCAATTGGTTTATAGGGAATATTTTTGTCAATTGTAATCCTCACCTAGGTGGTGATGAATACTTGTTATCAATAGATGCAACCTTGTGGAATATGATAAATATGAACAACACTAACCTTAGTGTTTTGTTTTACTTTACAATAACATAAATAAGTACTGTCAAAGAAACGTGACGCGTTTTAATAACTTTGTTACATTTTTCTTAGGTCAGTTGTATATAAGTTTAACCATTTTATTGCTGTTTACTTGGTTAAAAATTCATCGTATTCGTCTGTTTCTTGTCAAGTGTTGGTGCTTTTAATGTCGGTGTCTCTCTTTACTCGAGTGTCCCTTGGTGTGTGGTATAGGGGTTTGATAATGGTAGTGGCATCGGTGAAATGTTTATTTCACTACGTATGTGCATCTTGATAAGAATAAAACAAAATTGGGGGAAGTGTACAGGACAAATGTGTGTAGAACGTTGAAGGGGTTGAATGGATGGCACATTGTCGTGAAGTCAGCCTGAGTGTGTCCTCAATGTAAATAAAGGTTTTCATAGTAGCAGCAAGTGAAAAGTAATACGAAGACCTTTCACTCCATGCGACGAAGATAACGCGAAATTTACAAGAATTTTGCGTCGCAACACAATTGGTGGCAAAATAAAACATAACACAACAGACGTCATTTAACTACATACGAAGATAACATTCACAAGAAATGGTGGCAATAAACACAAGCGACATTTCACTACATACGACGAAGATGGCATAAAATTCGCAAGAAATTTTGGAAAAATAAAACGACACGACACGACGACATTTCACTACATACGACGAAGATAGCACAAAATTCACAAGAAATTCGCCTCAAATCACAAATTTTGGAAAAAATAAAACGACACGACAGACGACGACACAACACGACAAACGACGACATTTCACTACATACGACGAAGAAAGCACGAAATTCGCTTCAAATCACAAGAAATTTTGGAAACAATAAAACGACACAACACGACAAACGACGACATTTCACTACATACGACGAAGATATCACAAAATTCGCTTCAAATCACAAATTTTGGAAAAAATAAAACGACAACACGACAGACGACGACACAACACGACAGACGACGACACAACACGACAAACGACGACGACAACACGACAAACGACATTTCACTACATACGACGAAGATAGCACAAAATTCGCCTCAAATCGCAAGAAATTTTGGAAAAAATAAAACGACACAACACGACAGACGACGACAACACGACAAACGACGACACAACACGACAAACGACGACATTTCACTACATACTACGAAGATAGCACGAAATTCGCCTCAAATCACAAGAAATTTTGGAAAAAATAAAACGACAACACGACAGAAGACGACACAACACGACAAACGACGACACAACACGACAAACGACGACACAACACGACAAACGACGACACAACACGACAAACGACGACATTTCACTACATACGACGAAGATAGCACGAAATTCGCCTCAAATCACAAGAAATTTTGGAAAAAATAAAACGACGCAACACGACAGACGACGACACAACACGACAAACGACGACACAACACGACAAACGACGACACAACACGACAAACGACGACATTTCACTACATACGACGAAGATATCACAAAATTCGCAAATTTTGGAAAAAATAAAACGACACAACACGACAGACGACGACACAACACGACAAACGACGACATTTCACTACATACGACGAAGATAGCACGAAATTCGCCTCAAATCACAAGAAATTTTGGAAAAAATAAAACGACACAACACGACAGACGACGACACAACACGACAAACGACGACACAACACGACAAACGACGACATTTCACTACATACGACGAAGATAGCACGAAATTCGCCTCAAATCACAAGAAATTTTGGAAAAAAAGAAGACACAACACGACAGACGACGACACAACACGACAAACGACGACATTTCACTACATACGACGAAGATAGCACGAAATTCGCCTCAAATCACAAGAAATTTTGGAAAAAATAAAACGACACAACACGACAGACGACGACACAACACGACAAACGACGACACAACACGACAAACGACGACATTTCACTACATACGACGAAGATAGCACGAAATTCGCCTCAAATCACAAGAAATTTTGGAAAAAATAAAACGACACAACACGACAGACGACGACACAACACGACAAACGACGACACAACACGACAAACGACGACACAACACGACAAACGACGACATTTCACTACATACGACGAAGATATCACGAAATTCGCCTCAAATCACAAGAAATTTTGGAAAAAATAAAACGACACAACACGACAGACGACGACACAACACGACAAACGACGACACAACACGACAAACGACGACATTTCACTACATACGACGAAGATAGCACGAAATTCGCCTCAAATCACAAGAAATTTTGGAAAAAATAAAACGACACAACACGACAGACGACGACACAACACGACAAACGACGACACAACACGACAAACGACGACATTTCACTACATACGACGAAGATAGCACGAAATTCGCCTCAAATCACAAGAAATTTTGGAAAAAATAAAACGACACAACACGACAGACGACGACACAACACGACAAACGACGACATTTCACTTCATACGACGAAGATAGCACGAAATTCGCCTCAAATCGCAAGAAATTTTGGAAAAAATAAAACGACACAACACGACAGACGACGACACAACACGACAAACGACGACACAACACGACAAACGACGACATTTCACTACATACGACGAAGATAGCACGAAATTCGCCTCAAATCACAAGAAATTTTGGAAAAAATAAAACGACACAACACGACAGACGACGACACAACACGACAAACGACGACATTTCACTACATACGACGAAGATAGCACGAAATTCGCCTCAAATCACAAGAAATTTTGGAAAAAATAAAACGACAACACGACAGACGACGACACAACACGACAAATGACGACACAACACGACAAACGACGACATTTCACTACATACGACGAAGATAGCACGAAATTCGCCTCAAATCACAAGAAATTTTGGAAAAAATAAAACGACAACACGACAGACGACGACAACACGACAGACGACGACACAACACGACAAACGACGACACAACACGACAAACGACAACACAGCACGACAAACGACATTTCACAACATACGACGAAGATAGCACAAAATTCACAAGAAATTCGCCTCAAATCACAAATTTTGGAAAAAATAAAACGACACAACACGACAAACGACGACATTTCACTACATACGACGAAGAAAGCACGAAATTCGCTTCAAATCACAAGAAATTTTGGAAACAATAAAACGACAACACGACAGACGACGACAACACGACAAACGACGACGACAACACGACAAACGACGACATTTCACTACATACGACGAAGATAGCACAAAATTCGCCTCAAATCGCAAGAAATTTTGGAAAAAATAAAACGACACAACACGACAGACGACGACAACACGACAAACGACGACACAACACGACAAACGACGACATTTCACTACATACTACGAAGATAGCACGAAATTCGCCTCAAATCACAAGAAATTTTGGAAAAAATAAAACGACACAACACGACAGACGACGACAACACGACAAACGACGACACAACACGACAAACGACGACACAACACGACAAACGACGACACAACACGACAAACGACGACATTTCACTACATACGACGAAGATAGCACGAAATTCGCCTCAAATCACAAGAAATTTTGGAAAAAATAAAACGACGCAACACGACAGACGACGACACAACACGACAAACGACGACACAACACGACAAACGACGACACAACACGACAAACGACGACATTTCACTACATACGACGAAGATAGCACGAAATTCACAAGAAATTCGCCTCAAATCACAAGAAATTTTGGAAAAAATAAAGCACGACGACACAACACGACAGACGACGACACAACGACAAACGACGACATTTCACTACATACGACGAAGATAGCACAAAATTCACAAGAAATTCGCCTCAAATCACAAGAAATTTTGGAAAAATAAAATGACACGACAAACGACTCTCCCCCTTACTCCCCCCCTCCTGCAGTATCCCCCATACTCCAACTCTCCCCCATATTCCCCTACTCTCCCCATACTCGACCCACTCCTGCAGTATCCCCCATATTCCCCTACTCCCCCACTCTTGTAACTCTTTAATTCTGCGACGCAGAATTCTTGTAAATTTTGAGTAATCTTCGTCGCATGGAGTGAAAGGTCTTCATACTACTCTTCACTTACTGCTACTGTAAAAACCTTAATTTACGTTAAGGACACCATCAGGCTGACTTCACGACAATGTGCCATGCATTCAACCTCTTCAACGTTCTTTACACATCTGTGCTGTTCACTCCCCCCCTCCTCCCCCAATTTTGTTTCACTCTTTTCAAGATGCACATACGTAGTTAGATAACGTTTCACTGATGCTACCATCATTATCACACCTCTACCACACACCAAGGGAGACACCGACATTAAAAGCACCAACATTTGACAAGAAAGACGAATACGATGAATTTTAAACCAAGTAAACAGCAATAAATATGGTTAGAAAACTTATGTACAACTTACCTAAGAAAAATGTAACGGTTAGAAAAACGCGTCACGTTTCTTTACATTGATAACAAATAAGTAATGTCAAAGTAAAACAAAACACTAAGGTTCATGTTGTTCATTTATTATATTCCACAAGATTGCATCTATTAATAATACCAAGTACCACCTAGGTGAGGATTACGGTTGACAAAAATAATCCCTATAAACCAATTTGCGTCATTCAGTGTACAGCCTATTTCACCAAAATGCTCTTTAGGAATAAGGTGATCAGTCCACACCACTTTAAACCCTTAAGAACAACCATTTTAACATTAACCACGAAGTGTTATTGTGTCAAACTTTTACATCAAGAGGACTAAAGCCATTTGGGACATTTTCATACACTTTATACAAAATGAACACTTTATTAACAAGTTAAGGTAATTGTCAAAAGGCACCAAACCGGGAAGGCTATGTAGCACCATCAAAGTGCGAAATAATCAGAGGGCGCTAAATATCACCAAGAATGCCAATACGAGAACAAAAACGCATAAGGCGAAAGATATCAAAAATATCCGATTCACCTAGAATCACTTTATTAAACCTTTTAAAACAAACCTTTTAAATTCTAGCCACTGTCACATGCGCTGGGCCTAGACAATGTTACAATAAACATGTCATTGTATGAATAACTATAGCCAGCCGTTAAAGAATTCACAAACAGCTGTAAACATTAACGTGTATAATAAAGGGATATTTATTCCAATACGAACAACATTCATCGCACCCACATTGTTAATACAGAAAACTAGCCGAACAATAGTCATAACGCCATACACCAGATATTAAACATAAGAGGGAACAGATTCTATAGTTCTAAGAACAGTTTCAAAGTACATAATACACAGATTTACAACTTATTTTGCATCTTGCTTCCCAATTTTGCAATCTATGCGTCACCGGCCTTCTTGCTGCTACAACCACCCGTCTTCATCCATTTTCTATACTGCGTCTGTAAAGTTAAAATGTTTGCATTAATTTCAATATTCACTTCTCTACTTGCCCTTCCAACACTCAAGCTAGAGTACCTACACACCAAACTATTTCCTACTACAAACTATTCTCTAACCACCATTCTACCACAAATCTACGATGTTCTGAAAATTATCGTTAGTAGTCACGTTTCCTCCCTTTATATTACTTTTACACGTTTTCACTAACAAAATGGCCCGTCAACCATACTTTATCGAATACCAATTTATACCATTTGACATTAAAACTGCTAACACTTACCGTTATAGTCAACTGAAGAATATGTACATTCCTTCATTCTTCCTAACATTTACACTAACCAGTAAGAAACTGCAGTATTCTTGCAAACTCAACGTTCAATATTTCTAGTGGCAAATTCTAGTGGTGTAGAAGCAACACCTTCCACAGTTCGTCACTCCCCCCCTGTTAACTATTCACAATGCCCTGAACTATTTTCACCGATCACTATTAGGTCCTCCCAACTACAACGTCATGAACACTTATACCATTCATCCTCTACACTTTTAATCATGCTGCTTCAAAGCTCATCTACTGATATTTCCCTACTAATTATGGTAGCCTACTCCATTTCTATATTTTAACTGGCATTTTTACCGCCTCCTAAACCCATGTCTCATAACTAGGACACGTAAACTAGTTAATACCAACTGTTTCTAATGTCCCACAGACGTTCTTTCTATAATTCTGCAGAATATCCTTTCCAACAGTTTCCTGCTAATGATAAATATTAACTGAACGTTTTAACAACTTGCCTTTTCTTTCAGATATTCCTGCAACGTTGTCAGTCGCCCCGTGTTCAACACCGTCCAACCACCTCTATCGAGACTTGCAGCTACGTCACGCCTGAACTAGTTCCGTTCCTTGTGTGACTGACTAGTCCTCCGTTCACTAAGTTATTTCTCAAGAAGACTCGTGGCCCTTGTCGAGCCAGCCCTAGAAAAACAAAACATTAAGTTATTTATACCATTACAATGTTTTATAAAGTATCAAATTTATTAAAAAATCTAAGATTTTTGTTCAACAAATTTCTCTGTATACCCTCGTGTCTTTGTAATCTTTGATATATAGGGCAACACCAGGGTACAAACTTTAGTACTAAACTTTTTGCAATGAATTTAAATTCTTAATTTTTGATATATTCATCCTAATAGCTTAAGTTGCCATTCCAAACATTACCACGCATTCTAGCGACTACCGATACCATGACTGATTAACATTACGACCTCACAAGACGTGGCATATCCACTAGTAGCCCGTAAATTAGCGACATGCCAACACTTAAATACTTACAAAATTGACTGTCTGGAAAAACAATCCCAGACACGCAGATGTCTACGTTTACTAATTACGGCCCCACTGAATACATTAACTTTACCGAAAGCTTTACAATACATTCTTAGCACTACTGAAGAAACCACATGAACTAGGAAGATTGCCCAAGTAGTGGCGGAGGGTGGAATTTTAATACAATACCAAAATATAATTTTTCAATTTCTACCTAACCACAAACTATTAGAACTACTGTACCTGAAAATTTGTTTACCCGCTGCAATGGACACTACAGATATCAAGACTGAAGAAATTCAAACCTGCATAACTTACCAAATACCCGGTCTTAACCAAAGTAATTCAGATGAAATTGGTTCCGTGACCTACATTACAGAAATCCACACCCACCTGTTAAATAAAATAAAAAAAGAGAAAGTGGGTTTAATACCATTAAGTTTTAAAAGCATCAAGATTCATCGAAGCAGCCTAGTTCTGCGAGCCTGAGGGGGGGGGGGGGTTATGGAAACACCCTCACACCATTAAGCCACAAATACCCATAAACTGCCACCAACTACTACCAACGCTACGCCACAGGAATAAGCTGTACATTTAGTGCCTTATAGTACCTACAAGCCATATAAAAATTTAAGTAATATAACAGCTGGCTAAAATTGAGCTACAAATCCCCAAAATTCTGCAGTAAATTGTATCCTTTACTCTAATATTATTGCATTTTAAACGGGCCACGTACTTTAATACCTTACGTACTGCCCAGATATTTAGACTTTTTGCCCGTTCTAATGCAGATTTCAAAAAAAAAAATTGTGGGTCACCCACTTAATGCTGTACCGCTATATCTTAAACGAAGCTAATTATTAATACTATTGTTAGGATACGTCAACTAGGTTTCCATGTAAATAACTTTACCAATTCTATCATATGCCACCCAAATATCACCGTCCCTATAAAGGCATCACAGATAACAGAGCCCATATTACGCTACGCCAACAACCAGGTCACACCATAATTAAATATCGACACCTGCACCTTATATGAGTTAATACATTGAGCAATAAAGTCCACAGTAACCTTACCTGATGACCGGTGTAGCTGCAAATGAAGTAAGAAGCAGACACCGCCCAAGGAACTACGTCTGCTGGCTGTCAGCCCGACACTGAGGCGGCGCCGTCCGCTCCTGACCTTCATGCCCAACACAGCGTCATTGGTGACGTCACAGTGCTTAACGACCATATCCTCGTGCTGTGCTAATTAATGTATATGTTTATTTCTCAGAATGTTTGGTAATACGTTTATTGCTTGTGATGTGTATCTATGTATGCATTAACACGATGTACTGAACGGGGTGAGAATAGCTTGAGCTACCTCATCCCTTTGTGTGTATTTTACCTCAATAAACTTATTTCAATTTCTCGTGCTGTGCTAGTTTGCGCTCCAATGTTTTACATTCCGTTAGTTACTTTTAATCAGTAATATTATAATTTAATATAATAAGTAAATGACCGCTGCATTATGTAGGAATGCGGAGGAATTTCTGATGGAGGAGAGACAATTGCACAGCGCGATCCGCAGCGCAGCGTGCGGAGCGCCTTGGGGGCCTATATAAAGAAGAGAGGAGAGTTCATGCGTTCTCTCTTGCTCCAGTCACGCTCCGCTTCACAAGTCAAAGGAAAAAATTTTTCCCACCCTCCTCCCCTTCCAATGTTCAGCGGCACAAAACCCTACGCACAGTCCTATGTACTTTGTCCTTTATTGATGGGGTACTGGGGGGGGGTGCAGCACCGGCCCCTAAGTATTACGCTGTCCGCAGCTACTTACTCTCACTTGTAAGAGTAATGTTAAATTTGTCCTATATGTGTATTCTACAGCTACTAGTAATTTACCATTTCACATTATGTCTGAGATTGGCGCATTATTTCTGTCATGTGTTAGGCCACTATATGCTACTCTTTAAGCCCTGATTCTACTTGAAAATTGTTAAACGTTTGCCTTACTTGTACCAATAGTTAATAAGGATTCGGCGTTCTGCAGACCATGTTCTATTTAGTTACCGGATATAAGCATATGGATTAATGTTAAGTCGTTGTAGTAAAGTTATACATGTATTTATGCTGTTGTAAAATTATACAAGTTACCAGATACATTAACATGGTCTGAAAAATGTATTTGTTTCTACTAAAAAATTAAATAAATAGGTCCCCATGCTGTTGGTGTCTTATTCCTCCATTATCAGAAATAAGTAATATACCGATTTACTTTAATCGGTATATTATAAATCAAAACGGGATAAAAGCTTTCGAGATTCATAAATAATGGATTCAGGAACTCGTCCCGTGGTCTACATACAGCCTATAGTAATTTTCGCCATTTTAATACTATATTAGCAATGTCAGACTGATTATTTTTAATAGTAACGCAAGAAAAGATGCCAGTATTTTTGATTGGCACCGTGTGTTAAGATTTCCTTAGATAAGAATATTCCTTAACAATTTAGAGACATTTGCAGTTTTAATTCTTATAAAATGATATGCTGAAATTTGGTTTAGAAACTAATTAAAGTCTTAAGTGCTCTTCGTCAGTCCTAATCAAGGCTAATATACTTTGAATACAGTAACAATGCAAGCCATAATTTCAACATTGTCAGAGGCTGTCATAAGGTGCAGATGTTCACTGGGAAAAACTGTAAAACAGATAATACATAAAAACATGTATATACATTATGTCTAAACCTATGTACAGTGTTTTATAATCATAAATATCTTGAAATTTACGTTATTTTGGTCATTTGTAACATTCTCTTATTCTGCCTTTCACAAATTAGTGTGATAAATTTGAAATCATAATCTACAATATGTATTTATTGACCTATAAGTCTTCGCTAACAATTTATAAAGGAATCTGGAAAACGCCTTATAATTAATGATGGACTACCCGTTGTGCTGTGAATCTCGCAGACATTACCTTTCCACTGCTCTCCTCAGCCGATGTTGTCGCTTTGTGTTAGATCACTCACCCCCTCTTTGCACTCCCAGTTGACACTCTAAAATCTTTGGCTCTTACATCCTTGAAGGTGAAGTCTAGGCTCCACCCCTAGAGGCCCTCAAGCTCTACCGCTTCCTAGTCCCACAATCGTCGTCGCCCCTAAATTCACAAATGCACCCTTTCCTGGGTCTACAACCAATTGACTGAACATAATGGGCTGTGTTGCACCACACAACTTCCCCCATGCTCGAGTGGGGGAGTTGTGTTTATTGACACAGTTCGAGTGCATGGGGGGAGTTGTGTAAAACCCTGGTTTGTGTCTCGGAGAGGCTGCAGGATCCAAGTAAGTTCAGTAGAACTTCTGGTTTCAACTCTTCTTTTTTTTTTACCATGTCATAGCTCAGTCGATTAAGGCAGCGTCTGGGATGCTCTCGGACGTAGGTTCGAATCCTCGTCACGGCCCTTGTGGATTTGTTCATCAATATATAAAAAAGGTAAAGTTACCAAAGTTACTGGTGCTAGTTGAATAATCTCCTACAGAGTTAATTAGCCTAAGTTTTAAAAGTAACTGGGAGGAGTGGTGGCTGCATTTGTTAAACAAGTAACCTTATTAACTATCCAGACTGTAATTGACTGCAGAGATATCTTTAACACCTTGGTCATCTCTCTCACTTTCCCGTGAAAGTGGGTTGATCACAAATGCTCAACTGGGTTGAGCATTTGTGAGGGTGAACTCTTTCCAGTTTTTATGGGGTTAAAAATACAATTATTACAGTCTTAGGGTTACAAATAGCAACCGTTACAATGGTAGAATCAGTTGTTACATGACCATCCTCTATCAAGTTAATAAGAAGTATTAACTGTAGTTGAAGTATTAAGTATTAAGAAGTATTAACTGAAGAGTAGTTGTACATTTGGGAAATGTGATTGGTTTATTAATCTTACATAACCTATATCATTATCTACCACAATTGACGGACTGGAACACTACAGGCAGAACCAAATGCTGCCTGGTGGTGAAAATAAGTGCTAGTGACTTTCGAGCTAGTTTGAGCAAATCCTTTGTTCTGTGTGAATTGCTGGCAGATTTGTTTGACAGTTTTGAAGCGTCGCTTTCTGTGAACCCCTCCAGTTGTCTATAAAATTTTAGACTTTCTGGATTTTTTTTTTTTGGCGAGATAACAGATTGTCACTCGCTTCCTGTACCTCTATAGAGTGGGGTCAGGCTCTCGCTTCAGTCCCTGGGAGGCCAAATAGAACTAACGTGCCTGATGTGACCTTTCAGTATGGTAAAAATCTCTGCAAGATAACTTCAGGGAACCAGCAAGGGTGGCAGGGGATGGGGGGTTGTGGGTGTCATTACAAAAAAAAAAAAATACTGAAAAGATTAAAGAGATTATACTCAGACCGTTAGAGCACATTGAACAGATGGACAATGGCAGACTGATGAAGTGTGTATTTCAAAGGGTAAAAGAGAAATGGCGGAAAGATGGTGGACTGACATATTGTGCATATCACTTGGGATATATTAAGCTAAATCTAGATGGAAACGGTTAGAGAAGGGAGTAGAATAGAGTACAGTTCAGTACTCCTATTTCCCACCCCATGAAAGTGGTAAATGTGGGTAATAATCGGTCGTCTTATTGTATATGTAAAGTACAGTGGGGTCTCGATTTACGATGGTAATCCGCTCCCAGAGACGTACTGTATCATAAGTCGAAGCGATTTTTCCCATAAGAAATAATGAGAATTGAATTAATCCATTCCCCACCCTCCAAAATATTAACTTATAAATACATTTTATACTGAATACAATGTTTTTCTCCAACTACAATACAGTACACATTTTTATCTTACTTTTATGGAGGACTCTTGATGGCGTATGGAAGATGGTGATGACGGGGAAGAAGGAGAGGTGTATAGGGAGGTGTTTGGAAGGGAAGTCCCCTTCCATTATAACATCAGGCAGTGATGACTTTTCTGGGATACACTCTCTGGCACATTTTGCCTGCATACCACTAGGACCAGCTTGTAGCTCAACTGCTTGCTTGTCTTACTAAGAATCTGTCTAAAGACATTTGTTTTTCCCTACATTTTAACACTTGTCTGTAGTAAGACATCAGTGTCATTTAAAGGTCAATGCAATGGCCTGCTACAGCTTCATCTTTTCAACAAAACTTTGCAGTTCTTCCCATACTTCACACATAGGAAGGGACATCCTCTACTGCCTCTACTCACAACTATTTTCTTAGGTTGAACCTTACCACTGACTTTCTTGGGACCCATGGCGTGATATATAATAATTAGTTTTATGTTTAAAAAGCAAAAAATCACCACAAAAACGGAATTTCTTATAGGCATGATCGTCATTAAGTGGGCAGCTCTAGTAAACCGAGGCAGGTCGGCCTGCATGACCAGGAACCACGCGCTCGGTCGACCCAAACGTGTACCATCAAATATCGTTAGTCGACGACACTATCGTAAGTCGAGTCGCATTTTTCGATCAAATTTACATTGTAACTCGAGGTGCCACTGTAATTATAAAAAAGCACATATGTAACGTATGTATATCAGAGCACTGACTAGGATTTTGATCATACATACACTTCAGGCACTGTACACTACACAGTGTTCTATCGCTCATGTCATTAACTCCCATTAAAGCAAGAAAAGCTGGAGGTATCATTGTTACCAGTTCAGCTTACAACCCTGCCAGGGAGCCATGTACCTGACACAGCTCCCACAACCATGTGGGAGCCTGGCACAACCCAGCTGGTGCCTGACAAAATAGGAAGAGAATATGTAGAGGAAAATGATTAAATCAGTAGCTTTCAAATGTTTATATAGGAACTTCATACAGTGTTACTGAAGACTGAAAATTTGTATGATACAATGTTTTCCATAGTGTATTCAGGTAACACCTTGAGCTATAAAAAGTCACAGGTGTTGGTCAGCAGAGCTTATTACTGTTCATTCCAACTTATGTTTCAATGGAAAAACTGGGCCTCTCTGTTCATGTTGCATGTGAATTTTGTATAAAGATAGTGCCACGGTTCTAATACTGCAGCTGGTGGCCAATATTACAGCATGATAAACACGCATCATCATGAGAACCTTATCCTCCTCTTTCCTTCTCCCTAGCCACAACAATCTATATAAACATATTCACCATATTCACATATAGCATGTCCTCCTGCTGATTTTAAAATGAGTTCATCTTACTGTGATACAACACTATTTACCCGAATAGTGTTTACCTTACTGTGATTACAACACTAACTGAATTTACCCGAGGAGCCACTATCCTGTGGCTTCCACAGGGATGGGAAGGTCAGTCATCAACCTAAGGGGGACTTAGTTCGATCCTAACGCATAGCTTGAATATTTTTTCACAGATATATTAGTCATTTGATTTCACTGTGCACCGCAGGGGGACCGGGAGAAGGGAAACATCTCTAACGACACCTGAGTGTGGGTGGGTAACACTGATGAGGGGCAAGAGACGAGGAGTGTAACTACTGACACCTATGTGGGGGGCAGGAATATTGTAAAACTTGTTGTGTTGTATCAGATGGTGCTTTCTAAACTCCAGGTAAGTCGAGTAGTACTTCAGGTGGAGATACGTTGGTAATACCAGTACCTTGGTCTGGGAAGTCCAGGCACGAGTTCAATCCACATGATTTCGTAGATACATCACATTTTTGCGATACTATTGTACAGCCTGACATGCTTTTTGTCTCCATGACAATAGGAAACGATATACAGTACAGTGCTGACAATGAGTCACAATAACGTGGCTAAAGATTTATGATATCCAAACCTCACATCAGAAAATGAAGAAATAACATTTGGTCCATCCTGGACCATTATCAAATTGTGCAATAGAAAGAGAGTGGAAGAGATGATCAATATAAGTAAAGAGAGAGATGAAAGGTGAGATGAATGACGGAGAAAGATGACAACAAGAATAAGAGGAAAGGTAAGAATAAGTTGAAAGAATAAGAGAAAAGGTAGAAGAGAGAGATTCAGGTAAAGTAAGGGAAGGTTTAAGAGCAACATAAGGAAGCAGAAGAATAGGAAAAAAGGGTGTAAGTAAGAAAGTTAGAAAAACAAAGGTAAAAAAAAAAAGAAAATGGCCAGATGGCAAAGAGAAAGCATGTCCTATCTGTTTCTACCAATGAAAGAGACAGACAAGAAAGAGGGGCCAAGAGAGGGCAAATCCAGATCAAATCATGTTAAGAAAGTTAAAGCACTTGAGTATTTACAGCTTTAGTGTCTGGTTTCTCTCCTCCGGGCTGTACACTGACCCTCAGTTTCTCAATTTTTTAATTTCTATTATTTACAAGTCTTTCTCTTGCCTTTGTTACCCCTTACAGTTTATCAACTGTGCCTGTTCTCAAGTTAATACAGTATAACTTTCTTTCGTTTTGTCCTCTCTAATACTTTGGTGAAACAGGCCATACACTGAATGACAACTTCAGGAACACAAAAGAAGTGTTAAGTCTGCAGACAAGCAATGCTCGCTTTTGTCATGTTAGAGGGACTTATCATCCGAGAGATTATTTTAGAAGACTAATATTCTCAGCCCCTACTCTCCAGAGATGTCGTCTTGTCGAATCGGCTCATATAAAACATGCCCAACATGAACCTTAGTCATGGTTTTGTTGCAGTTGACTCTTCTCTTTCACAGTACATACGTGCTCTAACTTAACAAATGTGATCTGGCTTGGCTTTTCCCTCTCTAGGCTCTTTCCTGTCTGTCTCTTTTGTTACTAGATTTTCTTCCTCATTATCATTAGGCTTCTTGCCATTTTCTTTTCTTTTATTTTTACCTTTTTAATTTTTCTAACTTTCTTATACCTTTTTTTCCCATTTTTCTTCTTCTTTACCGTACTCCTAAACCTTCCTTCACTTTACCCAATACTCTCTATTCTTATCTCTCCTTTCATCATATTCTTATCTTCATCTCTCATTCATCCCACCTTCCACCTCTCTCTTTTCTCTCATAGTGTTCATCTCTTTTTTTTTCCATTACACAACTTGATAATGGTCCAAACTGAAATGTCATTTCTTCATTTTCTAATGTGCGGTTTGAGTATCGTACATCACCTAGGTGTTCATGCAGGGAGAGGCTAAGTAATACCAAAGAAGTTAAATGTTATCTTCAGGTGGCCGTGGTTTGGGGGAATTTATTTTTCAATGAGGCTTATAAGCTCTCTACATACCAAACAATTAGAAAGTATGATGGTTGGCACATGGAACAATTCGTAAAAAAACAGGCCTTTCCAGAGAGGGGCAGCTTCCAGATTAGAATGTAATGATTACAAAAAGACAATAAGACATTACACTGCCTAATTTAGAACACTTATATTTTTAAACATGAGATGTAATTTTTCTTGATGTACTAGAAAAGTACAATATACTGTATGTACATCAAGCACTACTATATTGTCTTAAAACCTTTACCGCATAACTCCTGAAGTGCAGTGCCCTATATCCTCGAGTCAACTGAGGATTCTGGGCGAGACAGTTGGACAAGTTTCCTTTCACCTAGCAATAATAGATACCCAGAAATTAGGTAACAATTGCGTGTTGCATCCTGGGGAAGGTCATTAAGATTTGGCCCAAGGTGGGGAGGGGGGGGGGGGCCACCAAGTCTACCAGGCCCTTTGACCCAGACAACGGGGAACCATATCTTGCTAAGCCTTGTGACATTACTTAAATCTGATTATAACAAATTTGCTTTACCATCCAGAAAACGCCATACACCCTATGTATGGCGAGTGGGAAAAAATGTTTCGAGTGCATCTGCGCATCTAATTCAACATACTGTACTAATAAATTTACCTTTATTTTTTCCCATTCACTGAACAAGCCCATCAATACAAGGAACACCATCGACTCAAAGTGTAAATGCTAAATAATACTTAACAACTCTTTATAAATCAATATAAACACACCTATATAATCCTGCATGTGACATACCAAGTCAACTAATTAAATACACCACTCACAATTATAACCTAATGACAATAATTATCAATAAAATTTACAACTAATCTATACAAATTTTAAGCAATTTCTCAGTCTATTATTTGTAAATGTAGCTGAGACTGGAAAAAGCTGATCACTTCATGAATAATCATCTCCTTCAGAGCAGGCTGAAGGAGGAACGTACTGAGCACCAGAGCATCCGATGGGTGTATATCACTCAGTATTATCTGTAAAAAAAAAAAAAAATATATATTACTGTAGTAAAATAATGCACTAAGATGTTAACAACAATTCTGTGAGAACATCAAGTTGATCATAATAAATAAGTAAATAAATAAATATATACATACTGTGTGTATTAATTATTATTATATATATACTGTATATATATTATATTTATTATCACACTCAGTATATACAGTATATGTAAGATGAAATTTCTCCTGATTCAACTCTATGGAAAAAGAGGGAATTAAGTCAGATATATCCAGGTAAGAACAAATACTGTATTAGCTCGCTAATCCGGACTACATGGGAAGGACCCCCAGCTGGATTAGCACGTTTTCCGGAGTAACGTACTTTTCACCAGGAAGTCCAAAAGTGACCATTTTCAACCATTTTCATACCACAAACAAAATCATTTGAAATGCTGAACCTTTTTTTCCCCCACACACTATAATTAGTGTGCGGGGCTGGGTGGGTGGGTGGTTGGTTGGTTAGCTGGTAGGTGGTCAGGGCAGGCATGTAGGTGAGTAGGCAGGCAGCTCAGGTAGGTCAGACACCCACCCCACCCACTCCTGACACCCACCACACCCAACCCTGACATCCACCCACCACACCCACTCCTGACACCCACCCACCACATCCACTCCTGACATCCACCCCTAGATAGGTGTCAGATTGGATGGGCAGAAGCAGTCACACAACATATGGACACACAACACAAGCAGGTGGGCGACTCCCTACCAATACCATTCCTCCACTCTTGCCCCCCTCCCTCCTAACCCTGGGAGGGCATTATGGAAAATGCCCTTGTGATAACTTGTCACAAGTGATAACATACTCATTCACTTGCTGTACGATGACACCATAATAGGCGCCTTGTGTTAAACGCCATTTTATTTTCTTGCAAACATTTAAATGAATAAATAGCCAATTAATACTTTTCAAATATTATGGTGAGGTTTTTAATATTTGTAACTCACTCTCCATGGCAAAAATAAAAAAATATAATGATTAAACAATTGTGCTATGACCCAGAGGTCAGATAGAGACCTGACCAACACACCAGTAGGCTTAATGCATTCTGTTGTTCACGATTCACTCCTTCCAACACCCCCACCCACCATGGGGGTGGTATGGTGTGGTGAGTGCTGACACCCACCCCCTGACACCCCAACCCATCCTTTTAAAAATAACATCACTTTTCACTTGTTTGCGTGCTATGGCCAAAAATGGATGTAATTTGATATGAAATCGGCTCACGAAAGTGATGTACATACTGTCCCGTTTTCTGTTTGAGTCGTCTGGCTTACTCGGTAAGGTTAGGAAAGGAAACATTCAATTAAAGTTTGTATGAAGTTTTGAAACGTTAGAATTTCCTGCCGGCCTAACCTACCAGAGGACCCTTACCTGTTTTGGAAAAAATATAAAAAATTTATTTTAATTTTGGCAAACAGCCAAATTCTGATGTAATTTGTAAGAGGATAGGTTGTCCCACTCCTGACAACCACCACACTCTAGCCCCCCCCCCCCTGCTTCCCTGAAGCCTCCCAGCTTGCCTGAACCCTACTGACTCCCTTCTCTCCTGGTGGTGGTGTACAACGAGTGTTAGGCCCAGCATTTCACTTGTTTATCTCTCAGTGGTAAAGGTTCACATGTTATATTCTGAGGCAAGTCGACCCTTGGTTTTAGAGAGATTTTTAGGCTTGAAACTCTCCAGCAGTATATGCTGATCTGGCCAAATATCCACTAGTTGGGCTTCTAGGGACATTATGGTCATATGGGGAGATAACTTTATCCGGCCACGAATTTTGCTGGATTAGGGTATTTTCTGGATTGGCGAGCTTGTACAGTATGTATTGAGAAAGGTCAAGCTGGTTCCAGGCGAGATCGAGTCTAGGTAAAGCCAAATTAGACAATTTTGGGAACACACACAGGGCATTTGGCATATAAAAATTTAACAAATAGACAACAAACTTTTGATTTCCATAGTATTAATTTGACAAGTGGTGATATCTGTTGCGATTGGTGGTGTTTGTTTATCAACAATGCTATATTATGTGAGTGACTTAATTTATTTTGTTGTAGACAGGCAGCGTGTGTATATATGTATGTTAGGCTTACATTGGTCCCCGCAAGGTCGAACTACTGACCCTCTCCAGAATGCAGCCCCACAACAGTTGACTAACTCCTGGGTACCTATTTACTGCCAGGAGAACAGATGTATTAGGTGATATGAAACATGCCCAACCATTTCTGTCCCATCGAGACAGATTCTGGGATTCTGGGAATTGAAACAAACCTGGGATTTCCAAATTATGAATTTAAAACAAACTCAACTGTATTCCCAGGAGAAACTACACTGAATGGATGGGTGAGAAATAAATGTGTGACTCAAAGGCCTCTTGATGTCACAATTAAGAAACTGTTAATGTACTTGTCAAACTATATAACTAGTTCATCAAGACTGTTGCTACTGTTGCTGTTGCTTAGTTGCTACTGATATGAATTTTGGTGTTCAGTTTCTGAGCCCTGTATGTGCCCATTTTCCTACTAATGTTCATGGGATTGGTATAGGGTGCATAATAAACTAACACCTCATCACACCTACTGAACAACTTTAACACCTGCAATAAAAGTATCTTGTCAAATACAGAACTAACAAATAGAATCTACATAGTATATACTATATATTTTACTAACTATAGTAAAGTGTTCATGAGTACAACACCTATAGTGTTGACCAACCAAAGTGATGGTTTAGAAACATAAGAACATGTTTTGTACCCCACAATACTAACAAGACTTGTCATACACAGAAGAGGTGAAACATATAGGGGTAGATAAAGACAGACTTTTTAACACAAGGGGCTATGTGAAATGTGAAATACCTATCTTACTTTTTTATCTCAAAGACAGACATTGCTTCTCCCACTGCCAATTAATATTAGTTCACCATAGTCTTGGCAGATACTGTATATAGAAAAAAGGCTAACATAGTTCCAATCAACAAAAGTGGCAGCAGGGAAGACCCTCTTAATTATAGACCTGTATGATTGACATGTGTACTACAGTAGTCAAAATATTGGAAAAAATAATTAAAACTAAATGGGTAGAATACCTAAGAGAGAAATGATATAAGAATGATATACTGTATATATATATAGGTTTCAGTCAGGAAGATCCCGTATAACAAATAAACTTAGTTTTTCAGAGAGAACCATAGAGATTTTACAGGAAAGAGATGGCTGGGTTGACTGCATTTATGTGCACCTACACAAAGGTGATCGTGAGTGTCCCACATAGGTTGTTCTGGAAACTGGAAAATACTGGAAGAGTGATGAGGAGGCTTCAAACATAGATGAAAATTTTTCTGACAGAAAGATGAGGGCAGTAATCAGATGCATTGTGGAAGAAGACCCCTGACAAGAGATGTGTTACTAGCAGAGTACCACAGGGTTCAGTTCTTGCACCAGTAATGTTCATTGTCTACATATATGATCTACCAGAAGGGATACAGAATTATATGAACATGGTTGCTGATGATGCTAAGCTATTTGGGAAGATAGGAAACCTAATTGATTGTCATGCCCTCCAAATTGACCTCGATAAAATAAGTGCTTTGAGCACCATGTGGCAAATGGAGTTAAATGTGAGTAAATGCCATGTTATGGAATGTGGAATAGGAGAAAATAGATCACACACGACCTACAAATTATGTGGAAAGAAATTAAAAGAATGTAAGAACTCTTGTATATATAAAAAATAATAAAAATAGAGAACTAATAAAGAAAGAAATCTAGAGGTGGTTTTGGATAATAGACTGTCACTAGAGGAACACATAAAGGACATTGTGTGAAGAGCATTTGCGTCGCTTTTCAACTTCAGATTTGCTTTTACAGTAATTACATGAATGGTGTAATACTAAAGAAATTGTTCATGCCTTTTGTGGGACCAAAATTGGAATATGCTGCAGTTGTATGGTGCCCATATTTTAAGAAGCACATCAATGAACTGGAAAAGGTGCAAAGGCCTGCTACAAAATGGCTTCCAGAACAGAAAAACAAAAGTTATGAGGAGAGGCTAGAGGCATTTAATATGCCAAAGCTAGATGGCAGAAGGAGAAAGAAATTGAGGTGATATAATCACCACTTTCAAAATAATATCAGGAATTGACCAAATTAACAGAGGAATTCCTGAAACCTGCAACCTCACGAACAAGAGGCCACAGAGTCAAATTAAGGAAACAAAGGCGCCGAAAAAATATTAGAAAGTTGTGTGCGCGAGTCTTTCATTCAAAATGAGTTTACCATGGTCTTTTTATATTTTAAATCATTGATTCATAATACAATGAAATTATATTTTGAAAATCAAGCTCTGCTTAGAACAAAGATTCACTTGACAGTTTGGTCAGACTATTATTGGAACCATAATATGCATTCAGACCATCACAAATATCTAGATAACTATCCAGGCAGTGCGAGAGTCAAGTTGGTGTCTCGATGTAATGACTTTACCCTGAGGACAGGCTGCAAATCTGATATACAGTATTCTACTTATTCCTGTTATAAACAAAGTTCACATCTTTCTCACATATTATCATTAACTGCTTCATGACTATCTATAGATACCCTTGACAAGCCACAACCTTCCTGTCCCCATCATGGTCATTTGATAGATGGTGGCCCCCCCCCCTCAGTTAAACTTGGGTAACCATGGGGATATCACAACCAATCATTACACCATTAACTCTTACACATGCTTCATTTTCTGAATAAAAACTCTGAATGGCATTTAAAATATTAAATGCCCCATACTGTACATACAAGTCACTCTTGAGAATCAAATTCTTCTCGCTTTGTCATGCTATATGCCTTTTGCTGGTTCATAAAGGGCCATGTAGATCTTGCAATGTCTCACATGCTTTCTCCAGAACTGCCTCTATGCAAATGCAGTATTTCATCCACGGAACCTCTACCTTCATGGAACCCACTTTGTTCATCAC